TAATACCTAAGCTGTAAATTTTTCCCAACATCAATATTCAAAACAAGTAATTTCATTTAAGTTTGAGTTTGAATTTATCATTTCAACAAATTTGAAGTAAAAATAAAATTATTATTGCAGATAAGTATGAAAGTAAACAAAAAGTGAAATATTAAAGAGTTCAATATCATGAATTAAGGTGTATACATTACACTTAAAGCATACAAATGAAGTTAGCATAAACGTATAAGAATAAAATCAGAGGATCAATCTAGAATCAAAACTTTGAATATTACATATTGTCATGTATTTTACAGATGTATTGTTCAATTTGATCAAGTCTAAATAAGTAGTCTATAAGCAACTTTTTAGAACATTACATACATTTCAAGAGAGTATCAAATACTTTGAGTAAACTTACAAAAGAAGTAAAATTACATTTTTAAAAAGTAAGTAAATAACCGATTTAAAAAAAAAAAAAAACTTAGGGTACGTTTAATTGCAAATGTTGAAAATGAGTGGAAAGAAAATATTTTACAGAGAATTTAATTGTCTAGAAATTGTTTTACTGAAAATTGTAATTAATTAGTATAATTTTCCACCTGAAAAATGTTGAAAGTTTGGTTCCTTTTAACCTCTTTTTTATGGAAATTGTCAATTAAGGTGATAATTTTTTTACCATTGGGTCTAAAATTTGTTCCAATTGCAAATAAATAAATAAATAAATTTGAAAAAAAATTATCATATCGATTACCATTCGTTTAACTTTGTTTTACATTAAAATTGTCAATAAAAGTGATAAATTATTTTTACTATTGTGTAGAATTTTTTTCAATTGCAATTAAAAAAAACCCTTGGAAAATCAAAATCAACCAAAACAACAAGAATACATTTTCCTCGAAAAGCTAGAAAATAAGGAAATGTGGGAAAATTTTGCTATCAAACAGGTGGGAAATTGTAAATGGAAAATCATGTCTATCAAAGGCCTTAGTTCCTAAAATTTTTAAAAATAATTTCTTTTTAATTTTATATTTTACTCGTAAAATAATGTTACATGTCAATTCATAGCTCTCCCCCACATCTGCATTTTTCAAAATTTCACTTCACACCATTAGTCAATTTCTAACCCATTTGCTTATAAGTACGAAAACCTAAAACGCGTATTGAAAGTGCCATGACCGTGTGATTTTTTTTCTTGTTCATCTTCTTTCTCACGCGGTATTCCCAACTCTCTCCTCCATTTTCTTCCATAAACGTCCCTCAGAATTCACCTCCACCCATCAGTTTTTACAAAACCGTATAATCATCGTATACCCACAAACAAAATTCCACTAAAAATACTTTAAGATCGGAAATTGTGAAAAAATAAAATAAGGAGAAGAATCACGATATAGAAGATGCTGCGATCATGCTGTTTTAGACCATTGGAGAGATGTTTTGGGATTCGGAATGATGAGTTGTTATGGCACATGGATTTGAAGCCACACGCAACTGGAGACTTTTCTATGGCTGTTGTTCAGGCTAATTCAGTCCTCGAAGACCAAAGCCAAGTCTACACTTCGCCATCGGCAACTTACATCGGCGTTTATGATGGACACGGAGGCCCTGAAGCCTCCCGTTTCGTTAGCCGCCACCTCTTCCCTTATATACGGGGTAATATTGTCATACACAATTCTCTCTTGCTCTGTTTTTGCTGGGTTTTCTCTATTTTTACGTGTGTGAATTGTCATTTCTTATTTGCAATTGTGTATGATTGCTTACATACATGAGCTGATGCTCTTTATATGGAGATGCCTCTGTATTTTTATTTTTTATAAAATTTTTGTATTACATGAATTGTGAGTTTGGAGATTATGGATCGATGTATACTTGTGACTCTTTTTTGTTTGAAGTGTTTTTATGCTTCTCTCGGTATGAATTATGGAACTTTATAAGGAAATTTTGAAAAGGGGTTTTTAGTTTTTATTCTTAATATTTTAAGATTTTCGTGTCTTCTTCTTATTTCTATCTTTGGCCATTTATTATTATTATTATTATTATTTTTTAAATTCTATGACACATTTTTATTGGTTATTGTTAAGTGACAGTTCTATGAATTGCTTAGCTCCCTTGTATAAATTGGCAGTGATTGATTGAGTATTGACTTATATAAAAAAAAAATAAAGAAAATCCTTTATATTATTTCTTTATCTGAAATGTGTTCGAATATTTTCAGAATTTACCAAAGAACATGGAGGGTTATCTGTGGATGTAATAAAGAAGGCATTTAATGCTACAGAAGAGGATTTTACTCGTTTGGTGAAGCGATCATTGCCTATCAGACCGCAGATTGTTTCAGTTGGATCATGTTGTCTTGTCGGTGCAATATCTGATGGTGAACTGTATGTTGCGAATTTAGGAGACTCTAGAGCAGTGCTTGGTAGCCAAGGTTCTGATGGGAAGAGGTTGGCAGAACGTTTGTCAACGGATCATAACGTATCTTGTGAAAATGTAAGGAGGGAGGTCGAAGCACAACATCCTGATGATTCACCCATAGTTGTCAATTGTCGTGGAGTTTGGAGGATCAAGGGCATAATCCAGGTGATTATTTTCATTGTTCTGCTTTGGCTATGACTAACTAATTTGTCCATATATTCACTAATACAATGATCATTTAGAAATACACAATGTATAGTGTCTAGTGTGATTTGGACTCAATTCGGACTGATGCTGGAATCTGGATCAGCGACTTTGAATGGTTGAGGATTCTGATTGATTTTCGACTTCCTTTAGTATACTGTTTAAGCTCAATCTTTATAGAGAAGCTACTAAGAGATCTCCTCCATCAACCATCGGATCAAATTCAGATATTTGTGATATGCTGAATGAAGGTTGAGAAAGGGTGACACGTAGCTCTTAACATCGGAGACGGCCTCATTGTAGCACTAATCTTCTTTATTACAATTTTAAGTCTCGATTTTTCCAAAATCCCAAGTATATCTTGGCCAACTTGCATTCCCATCTTACTAAAGATACTAGCACCAGCGTGTTTCTGGTACTGGTATGTGTTATATCACACATTGCCAATTGGTTTTTTGGTACTGGCACTAGTACGTGTTATGTCACTCATTGTAAAATCATTTGTTTCATTTTTTACACTCCCCATTCTATTTTTCTTCGAAAGATGATTATCTATTATTCTTTACACGATCCAAAATAGTCATGTATACTTCATTTATTGCGAGCCGCATTTTCATTTTCTTAAGGGCTATATCTTCTCTACTCATCCAGAAATCACTTTCTCTGCCTCTCTTCCCATTGTCTCACGCAGCTGAAGTTATGGGAGTTTTGCTCATGAGTTGCCATTGAAGATCTTATAAGGCAAAGTATTGTGATTCTGGTGAAATTTTAGTCCTCTGCCTCTGTTTTGTCCATCCGGATGGCTATAAATTTTCACGATGCTCATATAACTTTTAGGATCTAGTCTGTTTCTCTCCATATAATTTAGAGGTATGCATGGTGTTGGTAGAAATTGAGTGTGTCTGTAATTAACTGCTCTCCTCTTTTTATCATCTAAGTCCTATCAAAATGTCATGTAAGATGCTAATTTGTGCAATTATAATTTCCAGGTGTCAAGATCTATTGGCGACGTCTATCTGAAAAAACCTGATTTTAACAGAGACCCACTTTTCTTACAATTTGGAAACCCTATTCCTTTGAAGAGACCACTATTAACAGCTGAACCGTCAATTGTTACTCGGAAGCTTAGGCCACAAGATTTGTTTTTAATCTTTGCCTCAGATGGCCTCTGGGAGCATCTCAGTGATGAAGCAGCAGTGGATATTGTATTTAAATACCCAAGAGCTGTAAGTTTCTCTTCCCTGCTACTTTTACAGATATAAATTCAGCATAGACACATGCCTCGATGCTATTCTTTTACTCGGGACATTTGCTCTACTAGCTGTTCCTATGTAAAGACCTTTATATTAGGATTGCAAGGATCTCGTATTATTCTCAATTGCTTCTAAATGCTATGTTAATCTACGAATCACTTTCTTTCATTTTATGAGGCATTTCTCGTTACAAACACGATACAAGAATGAGAATTCAATTCATTATCTCAATCAGTTAAAGCACAATGGCAAAGCATCAAACTTTTACTTCATTAGATATAACATTGTTAATCTTGTTTAACATCCGACCATTCATTTCTTGAAAGCTTTTGGTCGGAACAGAGAGTTTGACTTGCTTCTTGTTGTGCTGAAAATTTTACAGGGTATAGCCAAGCGATTAGTTGGAGCTGCCATTCACGAGGCAGCAAAGAAGAGGGAGGTGAGATACAAGGACATTAGAAAGATCGAAAAGGGAGTTAGGCGTCATTTCCATGATGATATTACTGTGATTGTGTTCTATCTGGATCACGATCATCATCATAAAAGTCCTAAACACAAACGAGGGTCTTTTGGGAGCACCAGTGCCCCTGTTGACATCTTCTCCTATAATTCAGATGAAGTGGAGGAAATTCCAGTTGACAAGATTTTTTCCAATGAGGAATCTCGGCATATATTAGCAGTATCCTAAATATAATTATCCCGGTGTTGAAACCAGAAAATTGGTTTTTGTATACAAGTTTGCTGTAAATAAATTTATAGTTGCTGTTTGATGCTGAGATGAGAAGGCAAGGTTTCGCATGTAGATTCTAACATAAAATAACCAATTTTTTTGTTCTTTGAATGTTAATTTTACTTTGGGTTGAGCTACCAGATTGCATTTGTGAAGGCCGGTGTTGGATATGTTTTTTTCTGCGTCAAGTTTTACGCTCTTTTATGCTCTAAGATCATAGATCGGCCATTCCATTTGCAGAGCATGTTTTTTCTTCAGTATTTGGCTCAAGATATCATCTTGACAACCTTGGCCTGCCATGCTAAGTTTTTTTCACAAGTCGACCCTTGACATAGGCCATGGGCGTCGTGCTTTGTTTTTGCCTAACTCAATTCACACTTGGCCTGCCATGCTAAGCTTTTTTTATAAGTCGACCCTTGACATATGCCATGGTCTTCGTGCGTTGTTCTTACCTAACTCACTTTACACTCTTGGACTGTGACTCTAATTTACAAAGACAACATGAATTACAATCTACTTTTTCTACCATTGGCTAACATTTTTAGTTTATTTTTGTTCTTTTTTATCTTCATTCGTTGTCTTCTTCTCTTTGGTAGATATTTATTTCTCCACGTTGAACTCAACATAACAGATACGAATCAATCTTCAAATAAACATACATCAAATTCTATAAAACACACTGTTCAACCAACCCGCTCGGCCGGGTTCATAAGGACAAATTGGATATGAACAATTTCAATTCATTTCATTCTTCAACAAAAAAATATTTTTAAATTTATTTAATCTATTGTATAACCTCATTCAGTCAAGCTTAACCGTGGCCTTTCAAACAGTACGGATGGCCAAATGTCCAGCTGGGACAAATTCTTCGCTTCATACAAATGTCCAAAGGATAATTCTACTTTACCCGAATGATTCATTCTGTTATGGTAACAGAATGACTAATTTTCCAATAATACCCTTATAAAGAAATTGCAGCCAAGAACCCATATAAGAATATAAAATTTCAATTAAACCCCAAAAATTATAGTGCAAAATTTATTCCGCTGACTCTGCGCACTCTGGTAAAATTGGTATCAGAGTCTCGTTAGATCAT